CGCGAATCCACACATGAGAAAATGTGTGTAATAAAAACTGGCACTTCGTACCTGGTGGGCTTGACCCACCAACCTTTTGGTTAATAGCCGAACGAGCTAACCGATTGCGCCACAGAGACTGCAACATCGCTGTTATGTTGTGTTCATATCACGAATTCCCACATGAGAAATTGTGTGTAATAAAAACTTGTACTTCGTCCCTGGGTGGGCTGAACCACTAACCTTTCGGTTTACAGCCGATTGCTCCACAGAGACGGCAACAATGGTATTATGTTGTATTCATATTGCAAATCCATACATGAGAAATTTTGTGTTATAAGAACTTGTAATTCGTTCTCGGGTGGGCTTAAACCACCAACCTTTTGGTTAACAGTCGAGCGCGCTAACCGATTGCGCCACAGAGACTGCAACAATGGGGTCATGTTGCATTCATATCGCGAATTCACACATGAGAAATTTTGTGTAATAAAAACTTGTAATTCGTTCCCGGGCCGGGCTTGAACCACCAACCTTTCGGGTAACAGCCAAACGCGCTAACTGATTGCGCCACAGAGGCTGCAACATGGGTGTTATGTTGTATTCATATCGCGAATCCACACATGACAAAATGTGTGTAATGAAAACTTGTACTTCGTCCCGGGTGGGCTTGAACCACCAACCTTTCGGTTAACAGCCGAACGCGCTAACCGATTGCGCCACAGAAAATGCAACAATGGTGTTATGTTGTATTCATATCGCGAATCCACACATGAGAAAATGTGTGTAATAAAAACGTGTACTTCGCTACTGGGTGGGCTTGAACCACCAACCTTTCGGTTAACAGCCGAACGCGCTAATCGATTGCGCCACAGAGAATGCAACAAAGGTGTTATGTTGTATTCATTTCGCGAATCCACACATGAGAAAATGTGTGTAATAAAAACGTGTACTTCGCTACTGGGTGGGCTTGAACCACCAACGTTTCGGTTGAAAGCCGAACGCGCTAACCGATTGCGCCACAGAGACTGCAACATCGGTGTTATGTTGTATTCATATCGCGAATCCACACATGAGACAATGTGTGTAAGAAAAACATGTACTTCGTCCCTGGGTGGGCTTGATCCACCAACCTTTCGGTTAACAGCCGAACGCGCTAACCGATTACGCCACAGAAACTGCAACATTGGTGTTATGTTGTATTCATATCGCGAATCCACACATGAGAAAATGTGTGTAATATAAACTTGTACTTCGTCCCTGGGTGGGCTTGAACCACCAACCTTTCGTTTAACAGACGAACGCGCTAACCGATTACGCCACAGAGACTGTAACATTGGTGTTATGTTGTATTCATATCGCGAATCCACACATGAAAAAATGTGTGTAATAAAAACTTGTACTTCGTTTCCGGGTGGGCTTGAACCACCAACCTTTCGGTTAACAGCCGAACGCGCTAACCGATTGCGCCACAGATTCTGCAACAATGGTGTTACGTAACAGTTGTATTCATATTGCGAATCCACACATGAGAAAATGTGTGTAATAAATACTTGTACTTCGTTCCTGGATGGACTTGAACCACCAACCATTCGGTTAACAGACGAACGCGCTAACCGATTGTGCCACAGATTCTGCAACATTGGTGTTATGTTGTATTCATATCGCGAATCCACACATGAGAAAATGTGTGTAATGAAAACTTGTACTTCGTCCCGAGTGGGCTTGAACCACCAACCTTTCGGTTAACAGCCGAACGCGTTAACCGATTGCGCCACAGAGACTGCAACATTGGTGTTATGTTGTATTCATATCGCGAATCCACACATGAGAAAATGTGTGTAAATAAAAACTTGTCCTTCGTCCCTGGGTGGGCTTGAACCACCAACCTTTCGGTTAACAGAAGAACGCGCTAAACGATTGCGCCACTGAGACTGCAACATTGATGTTATGTTGTATTCATATCGCGAATCCACACATGAGAAAATGTGTGGAATAAAAACTTCTACTTCGTCCCTGGGTGGGCTTGAACCACCAACCTTTCGGTTAACAGCCGAACGCGCTAACCGATTGCGCCACATAAAATGCAACAATGGTGTTATGTTGTATTCATATAGAAAATCCACACATGAGAAAATGTGTGTAATAAAAACTTGTACTTCGTTTCTGGGTGGGCTTGAACCACCAACCTTTCGGTTAACAGCCGAACGCGCTAACCGATTACGCCACAGAGACTGCAACATTGGTGTTATGTTGTATTCATATCTCGAATCCACACATGAGAAAATGTGTGTACTAAAAACTTGTACTTCGTCCCGGGTGGGCTTGACCTACCAACCTTTCGGTTAACAGCCGAACGCGCTAACCGATTGCGCCACAGAGACTGCAACATCGGTGTTATGTTGTATTCATATCGCGAATCCAAACATGAGAAAATGTGTGTAATAAAAACTTGTACTTCGTTTCCGGGTGGGCTTGAACCACCAACCTTTCGGTTAACAGCCGAACGCGCTAACCGATTGCGCAACAGATTCTGCAACAATGGTGTTACGTAACAGTTGTATTCATATTGCGAATCACACATGAGAAAATGTGTGTAATAAATACTTGTACTTCGTTCCTGGGTGGGCTTGAACCACCAACCATTCGGTTAACAGCCGAACGCGCTAACTGATTGCCCCACAGAGGCTGCAACAATGGGGTCATGTTGCATTCATATCGCGAATTCACACATGAGAAATTTTGTGTAATAAAAACTTGTAATTCGTTCCCGGGCGGGCTTGAACCACCAACCTTTCGGGTAACAGCCAAACGCGCTAACTGATTTCGCCACAGAGGCTGCAACATGGGTGTTATGTTGTATTCATATCGCGAATCCACACATGACAAAATGTGTGTAATGAAAACTTGTACTTCGTCCCGGGTGGGCTTGAACCACCAACCTTTCGGTTAACAGCCGAACGCGCTAACCGATTGCGCCACAGAGAATGCAACAAAGGTGTTATGTTGTATTCATTTCGCGAATCCACACATGAGAAAATGTGTGTAATAAAAACTTATAATTCGTTCCTGGGTGGTCTTGAACCACCAACGTTTCGGTTGAAAGCCGAACGCGCTAACCGATTGCGCCACAGAGACTGCAACATCGGTGTTATGTTGTATTCATATCGCGAATCCACACATGAGACAATGTGTGTAATAAAAACATGTACTTCGTCCCTGGGTGGGCTTGATCCACCAACCTTTCGGTTAACAGCCGAACGCGCTAACCGATTACGCCACAGAAACTGCAACATTGGTGCTATGTTGTATTCATAGCGCGAATCCACACATGAGAAAATGTGTGTAATATAAACTTGTACTTCGTCCCTGGGTGGGCTTGAACCACCAATTTTTCGTTTAACAGACGAACGCGCTAACCGATTACGCCACAGAGACTGCAACATTGGTGTTATGTTGTATTCATATCGCGAATCCACACATGAGAAAATGTGTGTAATAAAAACTTGTACTTCGTTTCTGGGTGGGCTTGAACTACCAACCTTTCGGTTAACAGCCAAACGCGCTAACTGATTGCGACACAGAGACTGCAACATTGGTGTTATGTTGTATTCATATCTCGAATCCACACATGAGAAAATGTGTGTAATAAAAACTTGTACTTCGTCCCGGGTGGGCTTGACCCACCAACCTTTCGGTTAACAGCCGAACGCGCTAACCGATTGCGCCACAGAGACTGCAACATCGGTGTTATGTTGTATTTATTTCGCGAATCCACACATGAGAAAATGTGTGTAATAAAAACTTGTACTTCGTTTCCGGGTGGGCTTGAACCACCAACCTTTCGGTTAACAGCCGAACGCGCTAACCGATTGCGCCACAGATTCTGCAACAATGGTGTTACGTAACAGTTGTATTCATATTGCGAATCCACACATGAGAAAATGTGTGTAAATAAAAACTTGTCCTTCGTCCCTGGGTGGGCTTGAACCACCAACCATTCGGTTAACAGACGAACGCGCAAACCGATTGCGCCACAGATTCTGCAACATTGGTATTATGTTGAATTCAAATCGCGAATCCAGACATGAGAAAATGTGTGTAATAAAATCTTGTACTTCGTTTCTGGGTGTGCTTGAACCACCAACCTTTCGGTTAACAGCCGAACGCGCTAACCTATTGCGCCACAGAAAATACAACAATGGTGTTATGTTGTATTCATATCGCGAATCCGAACATGAGAAAATGTGTGTAATAAAAACGTGTACTTCGTTTCTGGGTGTGCTTGAACCACCAACCTTTCAGTTAACAGCCGAACGCGCTAACCGATTGCGCCACAGAAAATGCAACAATGGTGTTATGTTGTATTCATATCGCGAATCCGAACATGAGAAAATGTGTGTAATAAAAACGTGTACTTCGTTTCTGGGTGTGCTTGAACCACCAACCTTTCGGTTAACAGCCGAACGCGCTAACCGATTGCGCCACAGAAAATGCAACAATGGTGTTATGTTGTATTCATATCGCGAAACCACACATGAGAAAATGTGTGTAATAAAAACGTGTACTTCGTTACTGGGTGGGCTTGAACCACCAGCCTTTCGGTTAACAGCCGAACGCGCTAACCGATTGCGCCACAGAGAATGCAACAATGGTGTTATGTTGTATTCATTTCTCGAATCCACACATGAGAAAATGTGTGTAATAAAAACTTACAATTCGTTCCCGGGTGGTCTTGAACCACCAACGTTTCGGTTGAAAGCCGAACGCGCAAACCGATTGCGCCACAAAGACTGCAACGCCGGTGTTATGTTGTATTCATATCGCGAATCAACACACATGAGAAAATGTGTGTAATAAAAACTTCTACTTCGTCCCTGGGTGGGCTTGAATCACCAACCTTTCGGTTAACAGCCGAACGCACTAACCAATTGCGCCACAGAGACTGCAACCTTGGTGATATGTTGTGCTGTATTCATATCGCGAATCCACACATGACAAAATGTGTGTAATGAAAACTTGTACTTCGTCCGGGGTGGGCTTGAACCACCAACCTTTCGGTTAACAGCCGAACGCGCTAACCGATTGCGCCACAGAGAATGCAACACTGATGTTATGTTGTATTCATATCGCGAATCCACACATGAGAAAATGTGTGTAATGAAAACATGTACTTCGTGCCGGGTGGGCTTGAACCACCAACCTTTCGGTTAACAGCCGAACGCGCTAACCGATTGCGCCACAGAGACTACAACATCGGTGTTATGTTGTATTCATATCGCGAATCCAAACATGAGAAAATGTGTGTAATAAAATCTTGTACTTCGTTTCTGGGTGTGCTTGAACCACCAACCTTTCGGTTAACAGACGAACGCGCTAACCTATTGCGCCACAGAAAATACAACAATGGTGTTATATTGTATTCATATCGCGAATCCACACATGAGAAAATGTGTGTAATAAAAACTTGCACTTCGTCCCTGGGTGGGCTTGAACCACCAACCTTTCGGTTAACAGCCAAACGCGCTAACCGATTGCGCCACAGAGAATGCAACACTGATGTTATGTTGTATTCATATCGCGAATCCACACATGAGAAAATGTGTGTAATGAAAACATGTACTTCGTGCCGGGTGGGCTTGAACCACCAACCTTTCGGTTAACAGCCGAACGCGCTAACCGATTGCGCCACAGAGACTACAACATCGGTGTTATGTTGTATTCATATCGCGAATCCAAACATGAGAAAATGTGTGTAATAAAATCTTGTACTTCGTTTCTGGGTGTGCTTGAACCACCAACCTTTCGGATAACAGACGAACGCGCTAACCTATTGCGCCACAGAAAATACAACAATGGTGTTATGTTGTATTCATATCGCGAATCCACACATGAGAAAATGTGTGTAATAAAAACTTGCACTTCGTCCCTGGGTGGGCTTGAACCACCAACCTTTCGGTTAACAGCCAAACGCGCTAACCGATTGCGCCACAGAGACTGCAACATTGGTGTTATGTTGTATTCATATCGCGAATCCACACATGAGAAAATGTGTGTAATGAAAACATGTACTTCGTGCCGGGTGGGCTTGAACCACCAACCTTTCGTTTAACAGCCGAACGCGCTAATCGATTGCGCCACAGAGACTGCAACATTGGTGTTATGTTGTATTCATATCGCGAATCCACACATGAGAAAATGTGTGTAAATAAAAACTTGTCCTTCGTCCCTGGGTGGGCTTGAACCACCAACCTTTCGGTTAACAGCCGAACGCGCTAACCGATTGCGCCACAGAGACTGCAACATTGGTGTTATGTTGTATTCATATCGCGAATCCACACATGAGAAAATGTGTGTAAATAAAAACTTGTCCTTCGTCCCTGGGTGGGCTAGAACCACCAACCTTTCGGTTAACAGCCGAACGCGCTAACCGATTACGCCACAGAAACTGCAACATTGTTGTTATGTTGTATTCATATCGCAAATCCACACATGAGAAAATGTGTGTAATAAAATCTTGCACTTCGTACCTGGGTGGGCGTGAACCACCAACCTTTCGGTTAACAGCCAAACGGGCTAACTGATTGTGCCACAGAGCTGCAACATGGGTGTTATGTTGTATTCATATCGCGAATCCACACATGACAAAATGTGTGTAATGAAAAATTGTACTTCGTCCCGGGTGGGCTTGAACCACCAACCTTTCGGTTAACAGCCGAACGCGCTAACCGATTGCGCCACAGAAAATGCAACAATGGTGTTATGTTGTATTCATATCGCGAATCCACACATGAGAAAATGTGTGTAATAAAAACGTGTACTTCGCTACTGGGTGGGCTTGAACCACCAACCTTTCGGTTAACAGCCGAACGCGCTAACTGATTGCGCCACAGAGGCTGCAACATGGGTGTTATGTTGTATTCATATCGCGAATCCACACATGACAAAATGTGTGTAATGAAAACTTGTACTTCGTCCCGGGTGGGCTTGAACCACCAACCTTTCGGTTAACAGCCGAACGCGCTAACCGATTGCGCCACAGAGAATGCAACAAAGGTGTTATGTTGTATTCATTTCGCGAATCCACACATGAGAAAATGTGTGTAATAAAAACTTATAATTCGTTCCTGGGTGGTCTTGAACCACCAACGTTTCGGTTGAAAGCCGAACGCGCTAACCGATTGCGCCACAGAGACTGCAACATCGGTGTTATGTTGTATTCATATCGCGAATCCACACATGAGACAATGTGTGTAATAAAAACATGTACTTCGTCCCTGGGTGGGCTTGATCCACCAACCTTTCGGTTAACAGCCGAACGCGCTAACCGATTACGCCACAGAAACTGCAACATTGGTGCTATGTTGTATTCATAGCGCGAATCCACACATGAGAAAATGTGTGTAATATAAACTTGTACTTCGTCCCTGGGTGGGCTTGAACCACCAATTTTTCGTTTAACAGACGAACGCGCTAACCGATTACGCCACAGAGACTGCAACATTGGTGTTATGTTGTATTCATATCGCGAATCCACACATGAGAAAATGTGTGTAATAAAAACTTGTACTTCGTTTCTGGGTGGGCTTGAACTACCAACCTTTCGGTTAACAGCCAAACGCGCTAACTGATTGCGACACAGAGACTGCAACATTGGTGTTATGTTGTATTCATATCTCGAATCCACACATGAGAAAATGTGTGTAATAAAAACTTGTACTTCGTCCCGGGTGGGCTTGACCCACCAACCTTTCGGTTAACAGCCGAACGCGCTAACCGATTGCGCCACAGAGACTGCAACATCGGTGTTATGTTGTATTTATTTCGCGAATCCACACATGAGAAAATGTGTGTAATAAAAACTTGTACTTCGTTTCCGGGTGGGCTTGAACCACCAACCTTTCGGTTAACAGCCGAACGCGCTAACCGATTGCGCCACAGATTCTGCAACAATGGTGTTACGTAACAGTTGTATTCATATTGCGAATCCACACATGAGAAAATGTGTGTAAATAAAAACTTGTCCTTCGTCCCTGGGTGGGCTTGAACCACCAACCTTTCGGTTAACAGCCGAACGCGCTAACCGATTGCGCCACAGAGACTGCAACATTGGTGTTATGTTGTATTCATATCGCAAATCCACACATGAGAAAATGTGTGTAAATAAAAACTTGTCCTTCGTCCCAGGGTGGGTTTGAACCACCAACCTTTCGGTTAACAGAAGAACGCGCTAAACGATTGCGCCACTGAGACTGCAACATTGATGTTATGTTGTATTCATATCGCGAATCCACACATGAGAAAATGTGTGGAATAAAAACTTCTACTTCGTCCCTGGGTGGGCTTGAACCACCAACCTTTCGGTTAACAGCCGAACGCGCTAACCGATTGCGCCACATAAAATGCAACAATGGTGTTATGTTGTATTCATATCGCGAATCCACACATGAGAAAATGTGTGTAATAAAAATGTGTACTTCGTTACTGGGTGGGCTTGAACCACCAACCTTTCGTTTAACAGACGAACGCGCTAACCGATTACGCCACAGAGACTGCAACACTGGTGTTATGTTGTATTCATATAGAAAATCCACACATGAGAAAATGTGTGTAATAAAAACTTGTACTTCGTTTCTGGGTGGGCTTGAACCACCAACCTTTCGGTTAACAGCCGAACGCGCTAACCGATTACGCCACAGAGACTGCAACATTGGTGTTATGTTGTATTCATATCTCGAATCCACACATGAGAAAATGTGTGTACTAAAAACTTGTACTTCGTCCCGGGTGGGCTTGACCTACCAACCTTTCGGTTAACAGCCGAACGCGCTAACCGATTGCGCCACAGAGACTGCAACATCGGTGTTATGTTGTATTCATATCGCGAATCCAAACATGAGAAAATGTGTGTAATAAAAACTTGTACTTCGTTTCCGGGTGGGCTTGAACCACCAACCTTTCGGTTAACAGCCGAACGCGCTAACCGATTGCGCAACAGATTCTGCAACAATGGTGTTACGTAACAGTTGTATTCATATTGCGAATCACACATGAGAAAATGTGTGTAATAAATACTTGTACTTCGTTCCTGGGTGGGCTTGAACCACCAACCATTCGGTTAACAGCCGAACGCGCTAACTGATTGCCCCACAGAGGCTGCAACAATGGGGTCATGTTGCATTCATATCGCGAATTCACACATGAGAAATTTTGTGTAATAAAAACTTGTAATTCGTTCCCGGGCGGGCTTGAACCACCAACCTTTCGGGTAACAGCCAAACGCGCTAACTGATTTCGCCACAGAGGCTGCAACATGGGTGTTATGTTGTATTCATATCGCGAATCCACACATGACAAAATGTGTGTAATGAAAACTTGTACTTCGTCCCGGGTGGGCTTGAACCACCAACCTTTCGGTTAACAGCCGAACGCGCTAACCGATTGCGCCACAGAAAATGCAACAATGGTGTTATGTTGTATTCATATCGCCAATCCACACATGAGAAAATGTGTGTAATAAAAACGTGTACTTCGCTACTGGGTGGGCTTGAACCACCAACCTTTCGGTTAACAGCCGAACGCGCTAACCGATTGCGCCACAGAGAATGCAACAAAGGTGTTATGTTGTATTCATTTCGCGAATCCACACATGAGAAAATGTGTGTAATAAAAACTTATAATTCGTTCCTGGGTGGTCTTGAACCACCAACCTTTCGGTTGAAAGCCGAACGCGCTAACCGATTGCGCCACAGAGACTGCAACATCGGTGTTATGTTGTATTCATATTGCGAATCCACACATGAGACAATGTGTGTAATAAAAAGATGTACTTCGTCCCTGGGTGGACTTGATCCACCAACCATTCGGTAAACAGACGAACGCGCTAACCGATTGCGCCACAGATTCTGCAACAA